ATGTACTCGTGTGGTGTTTTAGTCACGATCCGCAAGACTATCGTCGTTGATACATTTAAACCGTTTAATAGATTAAGACATTGGGCACAACAGACACAAAATTTAACTGAAACATACAAATGAATGTAGTTTGCATATAAAATACCTTTTTAGCATTTAAATTCATCAAATAGTTGCCCCAGAGTCCAGACAAATACAAGAAAATGTGCATGCAAATACAATGTATTATTGAAGAAATTATGCTATCTCTCATTTGTGACCAGGATACAGTCGTATGTCACTCGTATGTACTCGTATGTACTAGTGTGGTGTTTTAGTCACGATCATCTTTTCACCGACAACCCTGATATATTTAGAAGTATTAAGAAGAACAAACTGAGAACATTTTCGTCTCACAAAGTGACGGTAACGAAACGGCATGAGCCGTCAAAGCATTGTTAAGACAAATAGGAATCTTTTTGCTCGATTTCTGGTCATTTCGAAATCTTGAGAGATTAATATAAAAGAGTTATTATCTTACAGTCTAAATGACTATCCACTTTCCATCGCTTTTCTGACAGGAGGACTTGTGAAGACAACGAAAGCCAAGATGTTGCACATCTTAGAGGAAGCAGCCAACATTCCAACTGTAGATATTGCAAACATTGGTGATAATAATGCACTAATGGTTGATGCAATGGCAGTATTGCAAGCTGCATAATAGAGAATAGAGAACATTTGGTGAATTTGCAGATCAAATATTTGATTATTTGGTAAAGCTTGCAGAGCAATGCAAGGCTACTAGACTAGACTTTGTTGCTGACAGATATCCAGCAATAAGTATTGGGAATTCAAAAATGTTCTAAAAGAAATAGTGGAAACAAAACTACAGTTGTATAATGTTGTCTGTTTCTACGTATGTAAACATGCAATTGATTTATCGGTTGAGTGAACAAAGTATCATACTCAATAGACAATATGCTGGAGATATAAACATCTTATCAAAAAATTGTTTTAATTCGAAATTTTAATGAATTTACCTTTAAAATTATTTTTGAAATGTGAAATGAAATAAGATGTAAAGCACGGAAGATATTTTTGCCGGAAATCAACCGTCGGCTTTCAGAGCGCGTGCCTTTGTTTGAACTTACTCCATATAAGGTCAACAGTGCATTGCGTGTGGCACGTTGATTAAAGCCCGCTCACACGATCCGATTTTGTTGGATCCTTAAATCGGCTTGTGTGAACACATATAAAGTTAGCCACCTAATGTCGGATCTGTCAATCTAAAAAATCCGATTGGAAATAGAACTGCGCTGTTTTCATTCGACAACATCAAAGGAAGCCGACCAGTCACATTACATATATTTGAAAAAGACTTGGAAAAAAGAACGAAAATACGAAAAATGTGTCAATAAATATACTGGATAACACAAATGGCTGTTCAAACGACTATAAATATCTAAATGAATATAAATATCAACAAAATTATCGGACTGGTGTGATCAAGCAATCAAGACGGAACCAAAGCAATCGGATCGTGTGAACTGGCCTTATGATAAAAAGAAAGCTCTAAGCATGACGAAATATATCTAGCAAACGCAATGTTAAAAGTTAAAGACCCACATGTAGAATTTCTTTTCTATCATTAAAATCACCTAATCATAACGTACGTATGAAAGCACCTAAATTGCTGTATACGAAGAGGGTTCTAAGGGTGCGACTGTACCGTGCAATTTTTGCCGACAAGGGGACTGGGCAGCAATTCCCCTTGCGACTTCTAGTTCATAAATCTATATTCAAAGACAAGCATTTTCCTTTAAAATGTTGTAATTAATATATAAGTTTTGCTTAGATATTTGAACATTTTATCATAGGGATGTTATGTGATAAAGGATGTCAGGCGGCAACATACACATCAATGGCAGTGTCCGTGATTGGCGTTCTTAGCAACAGTCTTCTTATCGTTGTTATTGTTTTGGATCCTCTGCTTATTATAAGACGTGGACCATGGATAACTATTTTAATTTAGCCATAGCCGATTTTATTGCTTGTCTTTCAATGTTCTTAATTCTTTGTTTGGGATTTGCCTTTAAAATCACAGTGCCAAATGAAATAATGTTTTCCTGTTTTTACTTGTGGATGCTTGGAGCGGCAGGATCATTTTTTCTTTTGACATCACTTACATGGAAGACATACAACACTGCCAAACATCCTATGCACAGTCGACAGATATTATCTACTAAGAAAATTACCATATTGTGCGTTACAATATGGTTTGTGGCTGGTAGCCTGGCTTTAGGAGAAATTTCACATGAAATTATCGATATTTCGTTCGAGCAGGTTAAGCAATATCTATATAACCGAATATGCCGTCTTAGAATTTGCTGTTTTCCTCCAGATTATGATGAAGTGTTTTATCATAAAGGAAGTAATGCTAAGTCGACGAAATGCAAATATGAATGGGCAACAACAGAACAGTAAACACATCGAAATTGCAAAGACAATCGTCATTCTGAATATAGTTTTATTTGTAACTGCCTTTTCATATTTCGTCGCCAAACAAGTGGAAAGCATCGAGAGATTAGGGAAAATACAGAGCAGCTATGCTAGACATTTTGCAGAGCACTATGAACCAGTTGCTTTGTTGAATTTTGCTCTCAATCCAATCTTATACGCGCTTAGGCTTACGAATTATCGTAACAGTCTTAAATCATTGTTTAAATGCTTTCCAATTTCTAAAGGTAATATGCACACAGGTATTTCTTGTAAGACGACAATGTTGTAAATAAAATGAATAATTCAATTTGATTTGTTGAGAATTGAAACACAAAACCTCGATCATAATATACGGACTAAAATGAGGAGTTTAATCGTAACTAGTAGAAATATGAGTGAAAGTTATCTTAAAATCTGTTCTGATAAGATGTACAAGAGTATCTCAATTACACAATTATGACTTTTTGATAAATGTATTATAAGTTCTTAATAACAAGCGTGAGGTCTTTACGAGAACGTTCTCAATCCGTGAAAATAACAGAGGCCCGAGATTTTTCATTAAAGACTCGGAAAAAGAGAGGCGAATAAATTTAATTTTATTATGTGGCCTAACTTAATTGAAACAAGGCTTTCTTTCCTTTTCATCTTCCCTTTTTGTATAGAGGATGGCTTTTGCTTCTTTAGTTTTCGTCAATAAGAAATACATCGTCATAAATTGTGTTGTCTGAATAATTTAAAACACTTTCCTAGTGTTTTCCTTCGTCTCACATTCGTATTCTTGACTTGCAACCATTCTCTTGAGATTTATCAAACAGTTTTGATCGCACACGACGGCTGGTGCCGACAATAGCGCTGATAAAATATTCTTTTGTACCATACCACAAACATGGCTGAATTTCAAGTCAAGAATATGGTTCTTTGTTTTTTTTTTCATTTTGCTTCACGAGTTTGTTTACGATGTTAATGCAAATAATTGGAACGCCCATCAATTAGCTACGGGGAAATGTTTGCCGCCAAAAATGTTAATGAGATAATCAAAGCGCCCCATTTTGCTGAAAGTGACGCTTGGCACTTGCCATATAATAATCCAGTTTAAAAAGTCCACGAGAATACTACGAGCTCAATGTTTTGCTGAATTTTGCTTGCCATTCAATTGTAAAGCGCTCAGGTTTACCAGTTATCGTTGTTTGAGACAATATGTTTTATTCGAAGTGATAACTTCAAAAATTGGCGTTTCTCTTCAAACATTCCCTTGATTTTTCGAAAACTCTACTCAATAGTGTATGAATGGCGGATTTGGAAGTTTATAAAATCAGAAAAAGGATGTTAGAACGTTAACTTGGGGATGTTTATCTTCACTTTCATACGAAATCAGTCGAGCACAACTAATTTCAACGGGATGGGGTCTTACAACGAGATGTCTTTGTCTTCGTACTTTGTTGTTGTTCAGAAGTATATAGATCAGAGTTCGTGAACAATCATGTGACCCACGCAGTAAACACATGTTTGTCTTGTCAACAAACAGCATTGTGTTTATTGTTGTAAATGAACTTTTTTCAGCCGCGCGTGGAAAGACTACGAATAGTTTGATTGCTGGCAGCAAATTTTGGCAGAGAGTAGCCTTCGAGTGATACTATGTGACATATATTACATGTATACAAGTTATATTTGTCATATAGTTGTAGTATTTTAAAGTTTGTTTGCATTTATCATTGCTTCGAAAATAGCTTCATACATAGAGTTTTGCAAGTCATAGAACTCATATTTTCGAAAAATGCCAACTTACAACCAAAAATGAGGTAAAGTCAGAATAATGAAAAGTATTATTGAAAATAAATATTGTACGAAATGAAGAGACTTGGTAACCAAATTGCGCCCTGCGTGGTTACTTTTCCACTTTATAAATACAACAAATCCGCAGTAGCTACTGGTTCTCATCGGTTCTGTTTTCTTCTTCTACAAATTCATCATCAACCCTCGACAATTTTGGTTTTGCCCAGCAAGACGAAAACACACAGAAAAGAATTAAAGAATCAAAAAAGAGTCTGAGATGGTTTAAGAAAATATTTTCATGCATTACATTTCACCGCCCCACCATTTCCATCACAAAACATATAAACAAGTTCTTTGTGCTCAACGGCATCAATAAATTGCAATTATCAAGCTTTGAACGAACAACGATAAACGAAAACTTGAAAATACATATATAATGTAGACTGTAAATAAGTGTTTCATTTTAAAATAGATGTAAAAGGCAAAAGTTGGAAAGTAATACTGCTCGAACTGCTTCAGACAAACGCTATTGTATACACAAAATGACATACAATATGTACGGGAGCTCCTTCAACACACAAAGATAGTTTGTCAATACTTCGATCTTATTATATTATTTTAATAAGTTTTCATACAGAAATTAGATCATTTAAGAATTATTTTGGTCATAGTTTTACTTGAGGAAGTTTCAGTCCTTGCATAGATGAAGGTCTGAATGGATACATCCTTTTGGCTGAAGAAGATCTTTAGTGTCTTGCTTTTTCTTTTCCATTTCGGACATGTTTTTTTCTTCAACAAATTCATCATCCATCCACAACAACTTTGGTTTTCCAGAGCAAGACGAAAATACACAAAACAAAAGCAAAAGAGTGACAGTTTTTGAAATAACTTTCATATTTTCAACCAAAAGAAGAGAAACGTGTTCTTCGTGTTTCCAGTCGCCAATGTAGCTACTTCTATGTCGAGCGTTGACAATTACGTTTATTGTGCAGCTCGGGTCTATTTATACAATCAACAGCAATAAAGCATCGATACTTAAAAAAAAGATGTGTGTGTGCTAAGAACTCAGCGTCACCATATCGGAAGAGTAGTTTTTTCTTTTCAAGGACTTGAGCAAATAAAAGCGCTAATGAACTAAAGACAGCTGAGAAAATATGCGGTGTAGAACAGTTATGTGTTATTCTTTCCGAAAAGTTTTAAATTATTGTTAAGACTATATTTACTTGAATAAATTCATTATGCATTTTTGTATGATTTGTAAAATTTCATATTTATTATTTCACATGAATTCTAAAGGAAATGTGATCTCTTTTATGATTGTTTACCTCAAATCCTTTTCAGTTTCCCATTGTCTTATTAAAATACTGTAGCTATATTTTTACTATTATCGTTTGTCTCTGTCAACAATAATGCGTAAATTAAAATTGAAGATTAAAGAATATTTCAAAAGATTAGACATGTTTGCATACATTTTTCACATATATTTATATTTTAAAATGAACACTTTGTCTGATATTCTTTATAAGGCTTGTATTTTTAAAATATGATATTGTGCTTACCAAGAAGCGATTTGAAAGTTAGTGCAAACAATTATTTTCGGCAAATTTTAGAAACGAGACACTTTATAGCTCAGCGTTTTTCTGTTTTTTAATTAATGTCTTTTAACATATTCTGTTTGAGTGAGTGTTATGCAATTTTTGTTTTGTTTGAGTTCAAAGAAATAAGGAATGCTTTGGTAAAAAGACACCATTTTGGAAAATTCTTAATGTTTTCCCTTAAAAAATTATATTTATCTGCTTGCAATGAAGTATATATGAAGCTTGACGTGTGTACTTGATATATATCTTTATATTTTTAAGCTTTAAGAATGAGAAGAAAAATGCGTTACATATCTTATGTCTATACGTTTTTTTAAAGCTTTCATTTAAATTGAAAAAGTCAAAATATGAGCATGAACAACCGACACAGCTGGGCTAACTATGCAAAGTAATGTAACCAATGAGCGTGACAGATAGTTTAACAATAATTACAATATGCCATATTAGTGCAGTGCAATGTAAGCGCAAGTTGCTTATGAACATGGTTCAGTGATGAAACGTTAAATTTGTATATTTATGTTCTTCTTCCACCCAAAGAAGTCGATTATCGTACATTTTTATTAAAACAAAATTGAAACATGGCTTCGATTTCTTTTAAATTTGTATCACAAATATTTACTTTTACTTAACTTTGTTGTTGTTAAAATTTAACTTAATTTCTATCCGTTAGAAAAAAGACAAAAGTTAAAAGAGACATTGCCATATTTAGAAAGATAGGCAAATTTTATGACTTTTACGTCATATTCTGTGTTCAACGAAGTATTGTTTAGTAACACTATACTCAGGAAAATGTTTCCAATGTGTATGATGTTCTTTTTGAGATTTTCAAAGCATTTTGTTTTGCTAGCAAAATTGAAACCTTTGTTAGCTAAAATATGAGATTTTATTAACACATTCATGGTTTTGAAGCATTTGAATGTTGGTGTGACAAAATTTTGACAATTTTTAGACATGGCTCTTTTTTACCCCTGGCCATTTTATCTTTGTCACTTTGTGTTGTTCTAAATTTTTCTTTGAGTAAGAGATATTCAATTTTTTGTTTTCTTCAAGCAGAAGAATTATGCATGCTTGAGTAAAAGAGCATCGCACAATTTAAAAATTTTAACATTCTGTCCAATTTCTTTGCTTAGTACTCTGAAGTAACGTAATATTTATTAAACATGTTGGACGTAAATGAAACACATTCAATTTATGCGTAAGTTAGGGTAAAACTGTCATTTAAGTCTATAAAGCAACTTAAGTATCAACAGCTGGCAGACTACAGGCTAAGTATATGAAGCATTGTAGCTAATAAACATATATATATATATAGTATAAGACGGCAATAATAATACTTTACCGTTGTAGATGTATAGTTTAGTGATACAACTTTGAATTTTTATGTAAGTTTTACCTCCTGACGAAGAAATCGTTTTCCGAAAATTGCCTTTAAGACTGAAAAAAATGGCATGGCTTTGTTTTAAATGTTTATCACAAACATATACCTTAACTTAACTTTGCCTTTGTTGTATAATTTAGTGATACAACTTTGAATTTTTATGTACGTTTTTCCTCCTTGACCAAGAAATCATCTTCCGCAAATTTTCTTTAAGAGTAAAAATAAAAATGGCGTGGCTTTGTCTTAAATGTTTATCACAAAAATTTACTTTTACTTAACTTTGCCTTTGTTATCACTGAATGTAAGTATGTGCGTTTGTAAAATAGCAGACGTTTTAAGCGTTATACACTAATTGAAAACATATGTTAAGTTAATGAGTTTAGGTAATATTTTGTCTACAACAAAGTATAATTTGGACCTAAATAACTGAAGAAAACGTTTTCTAATGTGCATGGTGTTCTTTTACAAATTGATATAGGGAATTTCAAATTGAAATGATATATTGCAATAAAACAAACATAGTTGTTTGCAAAAATATAAAACTTCATTCATACAATCGATGTTTGAAGCAAGTTCACATTTTACAGGCTCATTAAAATTTATGTTTTATCTTTTGGAAACGGCAGTTTGAAATTTCATAAGGCAGTTGTTGCAAAGATCGTATCATCTAGAACTCCCCAACTTTTTTGATAGATTAGCTCGATGAAATGAATGTCTTCACATCTTCAAACATGTGTATGCTGATTGATTGAAAATATGCAAATAATATGCCGAGCAAAAAGCTAAGAAACATAATAATTCTAACAAACAAATCGAAGTAAATTAATGGGAAGCTTGAAAACCTTGGCTTAACAATACCCATAAACCCTTAAATGAATATACGGAGTTGTTTTTTATGCGTTTCCAAGCCATGCAGAAATTAAAACAATGATTTTTAGTTGCCTCTTCTACAGCCAAAAAAATACTTTATGATGGTATTTCTCTGTGAAGTCATCTGTTCTTTTAATAGCTATAATTAACTAGGAATCCGTTGAAAATGTATGTTTAAATAACAAAGATTACCTAACATAGAGATTGAAAATTGTTCCGATTTGCAGTCTAGTTGTCTAAATTGTTTTAACAGGCTTAATTGTATTTCCGTGACATGAATGCTTTGTTAAAGTTAGGTCAGGATTTTTCATTCTAAAAGTTACTAACTACTTTGAAAGAAGGCCGGCCAGAAGTTACAAAAATACGTTCTCTATTCTTTATTAATTTGATGATGATCTACTTACGGCTAACGTCCTTTTTAAGTTCGTAAAGGTTGGTAAGTGTAAATACGGGGAACATTAGGAAAAACATTCAAGAGTCCAACTCGTGCAGAAATCATTGTCCCCAAGAGCCTTACTTTATTCCTTATTCTTTGTGTGCAAAGAATACAGCTGTGAAAGAAATCTGAAAATTTCAACATTTCCAAATAAAACACCTCTCCAACGGGAAAATCATCTGGATATGTCTCGACAAAGTTTTGTACTTTTGTTGAAAACCTTCACTGTTTAAGGTTGTTAAAAAACTAATTCTGTGGTCAAGTTGGTCATAAGCATTTATCCTGTCTGCAAGTTCTACATGATGCTTGTCAAGAACTGGAAGGAATCTTTGCAGTTCTTGAGAAATCTGGTGTTCGATAAATTCTTTTGGTTTTCTCGTATCTATTGTTTGATCCCCTTTTTAAATATTTAAATGTTCCTTTATCAATGCAGTAGTTTTGTATTTACTGCATCAATAAGACTGCTGTGTTCTTGTTCTCCCATAGAAGAATCATGAACCAGTTACAATGGTGCTCGCTCAGAAGAGATATTAAGAGAAGTCATGAACAGCAGTTTAACGATCATTATCAGGACTGTTTAATTGGTTCTATTGTGGAAGTGACGTTGCTGTAGGTTGGCACGTTAGAAGAGATATTACCTGTGATTTTGCTGGTATTACCAGTACAATCATGAGTGGCCTTAAAATATGAGGTTATAGTTAACGTTTTTGCATCGCAGCTTCATTAGCATCTCGATCTTCTCTCCCCCCACCCCAACCCCCACGCCCACCTTTTTGTTTAGAATTCTACATACAATACTTTAAGGAAATAACAAAAGAGAAATTTTATTTTGAGAGAAATTCAGCAAACATATTAACAAAACGGTTTTTAATGAAAAATTAATGTTTTTTTCATCTCTTTACTTATCCCTATAACAAGCGTGCCTATATTAAAATGAGATAGGCAGATCTTTCAGCTATCTTTATAGTCCTATAAATATTTCTGAGTTCAGAAGAACACACAGCCATCTGGTTGACATGTAGCCTATTATACTCAGAGGAAGATATATATTGATTAACTGTAATAAGAGACAATTGTGGCTCACACATTAGCGATTTACACTTTTGTGCACAGCTATCCTTATCCTTTTTCTGAATAATATATTTTCTGTTAATTTTCTTCTGAGTACAAAACATACAACAGTTTGGTAATGGTCATGTATATTGCCTGGCTCTTCACTGAAGTTTTATATTATCGAAAAATAAATTTAAATATGTCGGTCACTATAAAGGTGAAGAAAGGTAAGCCCAATTGAGAAATTTAGCATAACATATGGTTAGAACAATAGAACGAGTAGTGTTTATTGTCCTAAATTAGTTGTCAGACTAAAGTCATATCGAAATAAGAATTTTTTTCTAAGACTTAGATTACCTGCTGAGGAAACTTCTGTTTCTGGAACTAACGTTTACTTGTCTTGCAGAGAAATAAGCTGTTCGTGTTAATTTTCTTTGGCAATATTATCCTATATGTCGATGACATGGACAATTTAAGAGAGGAAAATTTATCTTACGAAACTGCAGTGTTTTTTACAACTTAATACAAAATACAAATATTTGTAGCTGGATAAAACGAGTCAAAAATTATTCAGTTCGACTTTATTCCTTTCATACGATCAAGTTTAACAGGTTTCCTCGGACATGTAAAAATTACTCAAAATA